TAATATATATATATATATATAAATAAAAATATTTTTAATATTTTTAAAGTACATGTATACGGATATTTTACTATCCCACACGAGTCATATATCTATATGGGCATGATGAGAGAGGAACAAAACTCTACACTTCGAAGGAAACACATTAAATTAAATGAGCAAGTTGCAAAACACTCCATCCATGTCCCCTCCTAGCATTCATTATTTGATTCCTGTAAAGGAAGAAACTCTGATATAGTGTGGTTCGAAGCATGAGTTAGTGGGATAACTGTTCAACACACCATTATTAAAGAAATACTAAAATAATATTATTTAATCTATATAATATAAAAAATATATAATTAGATTATTAAAAATTAATTAAAGAAAGTAAAATAATTATGAATAATAATTAATAATTAAAATTTTCACTTGTGAACAAAAAATTATCAATAATTTTTAGAAAATAAATCAATAATATTAGATATAAAAAAGTGTGATATATTATTAAAATTATTTAATTTATAATACCTCTGATTTACTATACATGTATACTATATATAAATATAAAATGCTACTTTTTATAAAGGTTAGAAGATATTTACTTGATTATCCCTCTATGATTTATACTATACTAAATATTCTAGTAAAATGAATACTATATACTAAATATAAATATAAGGTGTTACTTTTTTATTTATTAAAGTTAGAAGATATTTACATTATTATCCCGTGAGTGAACTCTAAAGTTCACACTAACCAATGTTCCAAATCCATATATAGCCAGCCACCCCTGCACCCATCACACTGCAGTGACCAATTTGAGTTCAAAATCAAAACAAGGGGCCATCTTTGAGATATCTGTCAACATCAATCAAGCCATGGCCATGGTCATGCCTCTGTTTCTGATCTTCCTTCTGCACATAACCTCGGCGACATCACCAGATCTCCGACCTGGGTTCTACTCGAAAACATGTCCACAATCCGAAATCATAGTCCGAGATGTCATGAAGAAGGCCCTTGCGAGGGAAGCCAGAAGTGTTGCCTCTGTCATGCGCCTCCAGTTCCACGATTGCTTCGTCAACGTAATTATTTAATTTAATTCAGTTGTTTCAAATTTCAATTAAATAGGCACATAGAGTGAGGTTTTGGTTTTGTGAAGGGGTGTGATGGTTCTGTGTTGCTGGATGACACGCCAACCATGCTTGGGGAGAAACTGTCACTCTCAAACATAAATTCGCTCAGATCATTTGAAGTTGTTGATCAAGTGAAGGAAGCGCTCGAGAAGGCGTGTCCGGGAGTTGTTTCCTGCGCTGACATCATCATTATGGCATCCAGAGATGCTGTGGCTCTGGTTAGTACTCTTTTTCACCCTTTCTTCTCCAAAAAGGCAAAAACTATGTCAATTTCTTGTCACCCTAGTATCACTTCCTCGCTCTACAGACCATACCCACGCGACAAAACTAGTAAAAGCCTAATTAATTAATTCATTAATTAAACCTTCAGTAATTTTACTAAAATTGTTGCAAACCATTAAATTTTCGTTCACAACTATAACAAAGTTATACAGGAAAAAATGACTAGATACACATACACGTTTCAATAAAAATATTACTCCTTCTATTTTTTATTCATAGTCGTTTAAGGTTTTTTACGGAACTTAAGAAAATGATTGATATTTTAGTTTTTAAAAATATTTATTATTTACTTTCCTATTCTACCATCTATTTTTTTATAGTATTTCGTCGGAAACATATTACTCTTTTAAATGTAACATTAACTTTACATAGGTAGTTAAAAAAAATAGATAGACATTAGAAATAAATAGACACATTATTCAGTAAACATACATTAATTATCAAGGGTAAAAATGAGAAAAAAAATTAATAAGTCATTGATTTTAGTAAAATGACAATGAAAAAAAAATGACAAATTCTGACAAAACGACTATGAATAAAAAACGGAGGGAGTATTCATTTGATTCCTTAATCACTATTCCCTTCGTTTTTTATTCATAGTCGTTTAAGGTTTTGTACGAGACTTAAAGAAATGATTGATATTTTAGTTTTTAAAATATTTATTACTTACTTTTCTATTCTACCCTCTATTTTTTTATAGTATTTCGTTAGAAATATATTACCCTTTTAAATGTAACATTAACTTTATATAGGTAGTTGGAGAAAAAATAGGTAAACATTAGAAATAATTAGGCACATTGTTCAGTAAATATACATTAATTATCAAGGGTAAAAATGAGAAAAAAAATTAATAAGTTATTGATTTTAGTAAAATGACAATAAAAAAAAATGACAAATTCTGACAAAACGACTATGAATAAAAAACTTAGGGAGTACAGTTTTTCATTAAAAATTACTCGAAAAAATGTTTAGATTCACTTTTCAATAAAAAAATATTCTTCTTTTGATTTTTTAACTAGTAGTACTAACAATGGTTAATGTTTTTCTTTTACTAATGAAAAAACTCGTTAATTATTCTGGTTTCTCTTTTATAATTTCCTTTTATTTAAGGAATCTCTACATTTATTATTATGATATTTTATATAAAAATATATTTTTCGTCTCTTATATTATTTATTAAATTTAGTTTAGTTATACTTTGATTAATTGAATTAATTTAATTCTCATATTTTAAAAATATATTTTAATATTTGATTTTTTGTCTTCTTCATTTAAATACTTAATGCATATGACACATGTCATGCTGTTATGTCACATGGCTGAACATCATGACATGTGACATGACACATGCAAATCCGTTAAGTATTTAAATGGAAGAAACAAATAGTCAAACATTAAGATACATTTTAAAGATGTGAGACTAAATTGATTCAATTAATTAAAATAAAACTAAATTAACACTAAAAAAATAATATAAAGGACGCAAAATATATTTTTGACTTTTGTTTACTATATTTTCTCTCTTTTTCAAAGATACTACTGAGAAAATAGTATTTAATGTTATTTTAAGAGTTTTTATGTTGGTATTAAACTGTATTATTATATACGTTAAATTTGTTTATTTTTATAACGGTTGTTTTATAAGTAATATCTAAAGCGATTTATAATCGTTTGATGGTATAAATTTTGTACCCATAAAAATTAAACTCTTTAAAAATAATATATTTTTAACTACCAGAATTAATCTAATGATAAAGAATTAAAGTAATATATATAAAATTTTAAATTTGATCTTTGTTGATATCATTATAATTTCTACATATAAAAAAATGACATAGTAAAAATTACAATGACAACAATAAAATTAAATATAATATTCAATAATAAATTATGAAATATAATATTAATTAGATTTTTTTTTATCAATAAAATTATAATAATGACAAATAAGCTCTGGTGCATCTATATTAGTCTTCTAATACTAATGTTCTATGTGAATGATAATAATAAAAATTAATCTTCAATTATCGATTTCAAGATACCCTGTGAATTATGTTTGTAAATTAATAAAAAAAAATATAAAAATGAGAGTAGTTCTCTTCCTCGAGTGTAGGTATGGTAATCTAACTCGTCCTGTGGGTAACTGTCCGAACCCACTCTGATTTGGACGGGAAAAACTCGTGTTTATTGGGTTCGGGTTTTTCCCGATTGATAAAATCGAGGGCAGGGATGGGGATGTTAATACCCACCCCGCCTCCGCCCCTGCCCCTGTCTCGCTTAATAATATAATTAAAAAATTATTTATATATATATAAACCAAAATTAAAACAATACAAAAAAAACCAAAATTAAAATGTAAAAATTTATATTATTTTACTTTTTTTTTTATTTTTTTAAAATTGTTCATATTTATTTAAAAGAAAAAAAAAGAAGAAAAAAAAATAGAAGGGTAAGAGCGGGGTGGGGAAACCCGAAACCCGCCAGGGACGGAGATGAGGACCCAGATTTTATCCCCGGCAGGTATCGGAGGCGGGGG